GAAATCGAAGATTTAAGCGCTACGTCGTCGAAACCCATAATTCATTTTAAACGGTATTTATCCGTATATTATAAATATATCAATATCTGATTAACAAGCTGTCTAGATGTCGAGAACAACGTAAAGTTTCATAAGTAACAATTGCATTAAATTACTGATTCGTGCGTAATTAATATACAAGATAGTTATTAAAACAATCGTCCATACTATGGGAATGTATGACTATCAAGCTATGCAGATGTCGAGATATAGATCTGATGGTATTTGTGTTTTTGTATTTGTGATTTCGTCTCGTCATTAAGCAAGGTTTAGACGAAGCCAGTAACGGTGGCGCCAGTCCTCAGGCAAGCCAGCCAGGCAAAATGGATTCATTTTATTCTTAGATTAGTCTTGTAAATCGTTGTATTACATTAATGATTTTTTAAAATTTTACTGAAAATAACGTTTATCATATAGTACATACATCAAAAATAGGTATTTGTTCAATATCACCAGTAAAATTTTTGTATTACAAATTATTTATTATGGCGCGGGGGTTGCGGGGCACGCGGGCGGAGCGCGGGCCAAGCCAGCGCTGCCTTGTCTGAAGACTGGCACCAGCGTTAGTGCCTTCGTCTAAACCTTGCTTAATGATCAACTGTAATGGTCGCCACACACGGTCAGTTCAACTGATCATTTCAACTGATCAGTTCAAACTAAAACTGTTGATATTTTTTAAAATAATAGATTATCGATATATCGATCATTATAAATATATTAATGTCGGAGTTTTACATATAAGTTTATTTATCGCCAGTAATTATACATATAATATCGAAAATCCTATATTTTAAAAAATATCAACAGTGGATTTGAAGTGCATTTTCGATATATCGATCAATATAAATATATTAATATGGGAGTTTTACATTATAAGTTTATTTATCGATATATCGAAAATCCGATATTTAAAAAAATATCAACAGTTTTTAGTGTGAACTGATCAGTTGGAATGATCAATTGAACTGACCGTGTGTGGCGACCATAAGACTTTATTTAACAGAATAAAAATAGTTAAACATTATGTTTGTTTTAACTGTTTTTTTTTTTTTACTAAGTTTACTTATATGTAACATTCCGCCACGTTAGTTCACTTTCCCTACAGATTCAACTTTGACAGCTCTGTAGCAGCACAGCATTACGTTGCGGTGCGGAGAGTCGCGTGTTCGAATCCCGCACGGGACTAGTAAACGTACCGGGTCTGTATGTTGGATCATTTCCAAATTGATGTATGTACTAAACAAAAGAAAACCCTAGTGTAGGATAGCGTTAATGGTACGTGGTTGCCACTCAAAAACACTGTCTTCCACATCGTTTGTCGGTTCTACGAGTTATACGGTCAGCACGTTGCACACATTTCGCCAATAAGTGACATATATTTGAAAATATTTTCAAATTTAAAGAAAAAGTCAATTTTATCTAATAGTTAATTGTGAGTGTATAGATAATAAATAAGAAATGACAAAAATGTAATTAGACGTTTTTGACATTTTATAAGTTTTGGTGTAATGTTTACTTTCATCGAATCCTTGTACTCTTGACCTCTACTCACTTTTTAGAGCCCCGCTGGTATGCAAAAAACTCTTATAGTTTCGTTTCTGTCCTAATGAATAATAACATCACAACTTCTTTGATCGGATCAGATAAACATTTAATAAAATTTTCTTTCGATACTAGCATTTAGAACTTTGTGACTTGCTATATTGAAGATTTTATAAAAATATTTTAAGTAAATAATCTTACTTTTTGAACCCCTTGTGTGATGTCAGAAAAGTACCTTTGCCTTTTCGAGTTGTCGCTAAACATAATTATGCTTGTAAATGGCTTCGATTGCTATGCAAATAGTAGTTGCTGAATACGTAGAATATATTGGGGATGTCATATCGTAGGACGAAATATCAGGAACATGAGAAAATTTTAGTTAATCCAAAATAGAAAACACATGATATAACCAGAATATACTATGTTGTTTTACCTAATTATAAATTATTTATAGTAAAAATAATTTAAGATCAATCGATGATCTACACTTAGAAAATGCACTCTAAAATGCACTCTAGAAACAAAGAAAAAGCAGATTGTTTTAAATCTACCATAACATCATTCGGTTAATACATATATATATATATAATAAATCTATTAAAAATATTTTGAGCAAATAATCTTACTTTTCGACCCCCCTTATATCATGTCAGAAAAGATACCTTTGGCTTTTAGATTTGTCCCTAAACATAATGTATACACATCTAAACTTGACATTTTGACATTATGTAGACAGTATTATATAGACATATGGCACTTTAATAAAAATATTTGTATTGCAATTAAATTAATAGGTATTTGAAGCATATAGTTTTACAGTACTAACGGAACAACGTGCCGTCACGATCGTCGCTTGTCATAAAAAAAATATTCGTACTTTTGTCAAAAAAGCTCGAAAATAAACCTGTAATTGTTTTGTTACTTTAAAAGATAAATTTACTTTACATGGATAGCACCTCCCACGATGCAAGAAATGCGTAAACTTGCAGTGTTTTGTCTTAAGTTTTTTGAAGAACAATATCCTGCTCTCGTACCCTGATGAACAAACACAATGACGCTTTGTTTCATACGCGCTCAGGTATGCTTAAATTTTCTAATTATGGAGAAATTTCTCCTCGTCTCAACTTCAACTACATTGTTCACCTGCCTTTCAATATATCTGTATCATATTACCAATATTACCTAAGCTGGAAACTATCAACAGCAAAAAAAAATGAATATTTTTAAACAAAACAAAAATACGAGAACAATTAATAATACTTATATAAAAACTTAGGATAAAGGAACCAAGGAAGAAAAAAAACAATAAAATAACAGAAATCAATAATATAAATATTGCATTTATTTCAACGAATTCGGCAAATATAATAACTGCAGATAATAATATTATTCAGTTACAAGACTTGCATCTTTTATCTAGCTAAGTGACATTTGCGTCATCAAAGAGGAAACCAAAGACATTTTTCACTGGCTGGCACTGGGCTTTAGTTCCACATAACTATTTATAAATGACATCCAACAGTAAATGCAGATCGCATATAATTACATTATAATTAAATTATACAAATGAAAATAAAGTTATTGGAAGTCGTATTGGAGGCAAATTTAAAATCAAGGACAGCTGCCTCGACGTACTTACTACAAGGTACACGTTATTTAAACGATTAAAAAAACAAAATAAAAATAATAAAACCAAAGAACAAAAATAAATACAAACATAACAAAAATGTAAAAGAAATATAACAAGAAAACGATATGCAAATAACTTTTTCTCGCTTTATGTGTTTAACGATCGAGTAAATAAAATTGCATTATATTGTCGGTGTAATAAACTGTGATATTTGCATTTCAATGATCGATACAGGCATATCTTGATGCGTAAACCAAGACGGAAGGCGAGACTTTTCACATAATAAATAGACCTACAGAATTGCGACTCCCGTGGCGCGTGCGTCGACTGGAGTTCATAGGAGTCGAAGCACGAGCGCGCGCGCCGTACTTCCGAACAAATTTAAATTTGAAGTAAATATTTGCATATCGCCTAACTCCCCAATTTCGAACCACTCTTATGTAAATGCGTTAGGTGAATATCTAAAAAACTGCAGCCGGCGACCCCACACGAATACGTCTACATTATTATGTAAAATACTACAAACTTTTACAAATGTTATGTTTGTACGTATTTTTGTACTTCTTGCAAAATATAATATGCGAAGTTCACTAATTAGATACAGTTATATCACAAGTTCTTAAGATGCCTCTACGAAACAAACAATATATTTATTTATATCTACCTATATATAAACACTACATATCGTATGCCACGTACGATCTGAGGCACGATCTGAGACAATTTTACAACATTTAAACTTTAAAAGCTAGTAGTATACTCTTAAACGAACCATTATTTACAGTGGAGCTCTGAGAAATAATTTACAAAACACTTCCATCTTACAAGGCACCTTATTTAAATAATAATAAAGATTTCAGGCTTCGCTATGACTTTACACAATAACTAAAATGTTTTAAATTCTCTAAAATATATAATTTGGTTTTCATTACAATCCTACAACAATCGACAAGTCGCTAATACCTAATAGGAGTTTTAAATATGAACAACTAGGAAGAATAATATTATGCAACAGATTACTAGTATAATGCGTGTAAAGCTTCGTGTATTAATATGCAGTGTTGACTTTCAAAGACTAAGAATGAAAATAAGCTGCAGGCAATGTAAATAAATGAAACAATTGTCATTGATGTAGTTTCTAAGAAAGTTTTTGATTGGCATCATTTAAATAATTGATTATTCATGTGGAGCGAATGCATGTGCGGCAGATCGGTCCCATTAGATATACGTCGTCCTTCACGCGTCCTAACTCCTACCATTGTTATGTTTCGTTTGCATTTAAATAGCGGCGGCTTGAAGCGGCCGCCCACTATCTCACTGGCCCGCCTCTCGCGGCTACGATCACAGCCGCCTCGTGGATACCATGCGCGTGGATTTCTACTTAACAAAATCGTTAAGGACACAACACGTAACTTTCTAGTATTATTTCCACCAATAGAAGTCCTAAATATTTTCTCTGAGATAGTTAAAATATGCTTGCAAATTAAGTTTTTTAAAGATTGTAAACATGTTTTCCTAAAAGCTTCTGAAAGGCCAACACTGCATTATTAGCACAAAGGTTTTTCATTTTACTCCTAAACCCTATTTACAAAAGACTCACTAGTAGGAAAAACACCAACGACCGTCACGGCACGACGTGAGCTTCGCTCATATGATGATACGTATTATTTAAATATTAAAATAATTTAATAAGAATTTTGGTTTTGAGCGAAGCTCGCCGTTGAAAGTTCTATGAAAATAGGTCCGTGATCGCGTAGCACTCGTAAGTACTATGCGATACGGACTACGGTCAAGTAGTACACTCACCATTGCCGGCGAGTTGAGGCCTCAGGAACGCGTTGTGCAGTTCGCTGCCAATGCCGCTCTCGAGTCGAGCTGCCATCTGCATGAGAGCCAGCGTGCTGTCGTCTCCACCACCAACGCCGCTCTCCAACCTAGAGCGAACTGCTGTGATATGCCCGCGCGTGAAAACGTGATCTTGCACGGAGTACTTGTGACTATATTTGAAATCACAAACCCTACATTCTTCGGGTGGCGGCGCGTCTGACACTTCTGATAAGCCTGCTGCTAACCGTGCTTTCTTTTCTTTGGCACGTGCATTTTGGAACCATACTTGCACCACGCGTTTGGGAAGACCAATTTCCCGTCCTAGAGCCTCGCACTCTGCCATCGTGGGAGTTTTGTAGTCGTTGAATAAAGACTTCATTATTTTTACTTGTACTGATGACATTTGAGTTCGGAAGCGTTTTCCAGGAGGTCTAGACGTTTGTTGCTGACCGGCTAGGGGAGACGTTGGTTCATCTTCCTCGTAGAACTCCATAGTCTCTGACGCTGTATCGGAGCGCTCGTCTGCATCCGAGCCTGGCCTCGACAGATCAACAGGTTTGCTAAGATCTAATGGTATTTCTGATTTTCCTTGCGATATTTGTCTCTCTGAAGACTCGTTGAGAGCGCCATTTTGTTGGGCTACTGCGTGAGCTTGTAATTCACTTACATATCGTTTCATTGACTCTTCACTGTACTGTTTGATAAATTTCTCCATGTCTGAGTGAAAAGGTGGAAAAATAGGGGGCAACATGGGAGCCCCCGCTTGGGAAAAATTTTGCTGTCTATCACTTTGTTGTGAACCAAAACTTGGTGTTGATTCAGTACTCAGTTCTTCATCTGGCAATGCGTCAACGTTTATTTCTCCACGTGCGCACTGATCGGCGTGTTTAGTACTTAAATGGCTTTCTAAAGCACTTTTAACTTTAAATAAAGCGGGGCAGAAGGGACATCGTTTATTAATAACTTGTGCATGAGCTCGAAATTGTCCTTTTCTTTCACGAGCCCTAGTATTTTGAAACCAAACTTGCACTACTCTTTTTTTTAACCCTACTTCTCGAGCAATGTTTTCAAGCATTTTTCGTGATGGATTTGATTCTATTTGATATTTTTGATATAAATAGTCTAATTGTTCTGGCAAAATAGTAGTTCTTAACCGCTTGTCCTTTGGCTGTTCTCCTGTATCTATTTCTTCATATTCATCGAACTTTCTTTTAGCAACTTGTTGATTTAACGCTGCTACTAAAGGGTGACGTGATTCATCGTTAGCTAATGTTGCATTTAGTTGCTGTAGCTGAGCGTGTTGCTGAAGTATTCCAAAAGGGGAATCTGGTGGATACGTGGGAAATAAGTTTGGGTTCATTATATGAACAAGTTGATGTTCTCGCCATAAATCAAATCGAGGGAAGACTAGGTTACATTTATCACATTGAAAATTGCCATCTTTGTCTTCGGTTCGTGGTTGATGAGCTACAGGCGTTACTGGTGTTAATGGAGCTTGTGGAGCTTGTGGAGCTGGTGACACTGGGTAGTTAGGAGCTGCTGGCGTGGGGGTTCGAGGTGGCGCGGGTGAAACTGGAACGTGGGGAATATGATGTTCAACGATGCTTGAATTTGAATCTTCGCTACTTAAAGTGGCGGCAACTTGAGCAGCAGCTGCTTGTGCCTGAGCCGATCTCTTTGCATCTTCCTCTTTAAAACAATGTGTTTTCTGATGTCTTATTAATTCGTAATATCTCTGAAACACTAGTTGACACTTCTTGCATTGGTAATTTAATCCTGGAGTTCTTTGAAATCTATTTGCATCATCTGTAGCTCCTGTGGGTGGTTCAGCAGCTGGTTGATTTTCATAAACTTTTCGAGCCTTTTGTCGTGCATTTTGAAACCAAACAACTATTACTCTTGGACTAAGACCAAGAAGTTTTGAAAGATATTCTAAATCATCGTCTTTGGGATAAGCGTTGTTTTCGAAAAACTCTTGTAGTACTTTAATTTGATAGTCTGTAAATCTAGTTCTGTTGGCGCGTTTGCCAGAAGACCCCGAGCTGTTGGATCCATTCGAGTTGCCCCCGGAAAGTCCGAAATCCGCCGGTCCTCTGCCAGGACTGAGGCTGCGATTCGGGGTCAAAGTTAGGACGTTCGGGGGCGCGGAGTTTGGGGACGTGAAGTTAGGATTTATTTTTGGTGGCAACATTGATGGGTGAGGTGGTTGTGGTATGCTTGTCGCCGGTATCGAATCTAACTGCGACTGGATTAATGAATTTAATGACAGATGTGTTGGAGTATGTGGCCGAGATATATTCTGTTGATTATCAGAATTATTTAAAGCAGGACTTTGCGATGGAACTTGAGGGAAAATAAAGCTCTTGTCTTCTTGGTGACGGTCATCATAAGAATTATATTTTTCTTCCATGGTTGGTTCATCGTTTGGTTCTGATTTCACTTCTTGGTGACTTATCGACGCGGGTTCTTCGGTTTTTGATTTTTTTTCAGGTGGTGGCTTTCCTTCATCAGAGCTTGCCGATGAATCCAAAGGAGTGACTTTAGCTTCACCTGTTTTTTCATACTCTTCCAGGTTGAGTGTCGTTGAAGGAGGGTTGTTAAAGTTGTATGGCGAATCTTTGTTGCGTTGTCTTTCTTTAAAAAGTGTATTCCGAAACCAATGTTTAATAACTTTGGTAGCTAAACCAGACTGTTGAGCCATTTTCGCAATTGCTTCGTCGCTAGGAGAGTTGTTAATGTCAAAGTGCGCGCGTAATATTTTCAACTGTTCGTCAGTTATACGAGTGCGAGCCCGTTTTTGTCCAGCTGCAGCGTTCGCCTGCAAATAAAAATAATGATGTTAGAACAGTAAAAATAAAGAAATGTATAGTAGTGATGATGATGATCATCATCATCTCTATAGATCATCCCATGTCCACTGCTGAACATTGGCCTCTCCCAGGGAATACCACAAGGCAGGGTCCTGAGTCACCTGCATCTCGTAAAAAGTCATTCCTCCATCTAGTGGGGGGCCGCCCTATATTTCGCTTACCGATACGAGACTACTACTCGAGAACCTTTCTTCCTCATCAGTTGTCGGATCTTCGAGCTATATGACCAACTCATTGCTACTTTATACGTTTTTATAAGTGGTAGAGCCATGCTGCAGTTATATTAGTAGTATAGTTGCAGCACGAATGGGTCGGCTCGACCGGGGAAGGACCACGCTCTCACAGAATACCAGCCTAAAATAGTAGCTTAATGATGCTGTATTTCGTATGGTGAGTGTAAAGAACTGGATACCCTTTTTACTGGAAACGAGGCATTCCATCTCAGTCCTCACGGGTGACAACGCATCTGCACTTTGATTTTTAATGGAGGATAGATATAGATGTCTATGGGCCGCAGCAACCACTTACCATCAGGTGGACTGTGTGCTCGTTTGTCACCCTATTCTATAAAAAAAAAACTTTAGCTTACTGATCAGCAGTAAAACCATAGTTACCGACATGATTACAATGGTTTATACTGCGGATATGCGCAACATACATTTAATCAATTAAAATTGAAAAATAAGCAGTAGTGAATAATTTATAATTTAAGTAAACGATGAAGAGAATCGGGATAGTCTTATTTATTTGCGGTCGTAAGCCGCTGGGCGATTGCAGGTAACTTTGAATAATAATAAAATCCGTTGTAAGTAATAATACTTCGACCCTACATGTTCAACAATAGACGCTCTGTCGCTTTGTGCAAACAGATAGCTAACGTTTATCTAATAATACGTCGAACGATATTCTTGCCTTGCGATCGACTTTACACAGTAAAATGTACATTATAAATTCGACGATTTAAAGACAATTTATTTTATTGGAAAATGGTGACAAGCGAGCACACAGTCCACACAGTGATAACTGGTTGCTGTGGCCCATAGACATCTACATCTATCCTCGATTACAAATCAAAATGCAGATGGGTTGTCATCCTTGAGGACTAAGATGGAATGCCTCTTTTCCAGTAAAAAGGGTCTCTGGTTCTCTACACTCACTATACGAGACACAGCAGCATTAAGCCGCTATTTAACGCTGGTATTCTGTGAGAGCGTGGTCATTCCCCGGTCGAGCCGACCCATTCGTGCTACAACTATACAATTAATATATAGCATAGCTCTACCACCATATTAAAAATACCATATTAAAATGTAAAAAATTCTTAACAACTTTGTGGTGTGTATGATTAAAAGTAAAAATATAGTCTATATACGTCGCACTGCTGGACACAGACCTTCATCATATCATTCATCTGTAAGATTGTTGCGGAGCAATCAGGCCTTCGCGCTGCTCCAGCCCGTGTTGGCGGAATTCACATGTCTTTGAAATATTTTACACCTCAGATACAAGAGTTTCAACACGATGTTTTTATTTACCGTCGAGCACGTGGTAAATCGGAAATAAAATTGCAAATACCAATTTCATTAGTATTGGTGGGGATCGAACCCAGTTGCTCGCGTACTGTGTATTTAACGGAGAACTGAGCTACCGCGGCTCTGTTGCGTGTAAAATGTTATCACATTTATTAAGCACTTTAAAATACTTAAGAAATATATAATCCATATAAAAATATTTTATAAGTCTTTACAATTTGCATAATTTCTCTTCATGCTTCATGATTTTGTGAACGAGACGTTTAGTAAAAATATCATTCGTTATTTAGCTGTTTGCACATCATTATCTTAATATATATAAATGTCACGTTGTTTGCCCGCGATGGACTCCTAAACTACTTTACCGTTTTCAATCAAATTTGCACACCGTGTGCATTTTGGTCCAACTTGAGAGATAGGATAGTTTTTTTGTCCATGAATGACCCACATTATTTTTGCGAATTTAAAGATTTTTTTTGAGCCGTGGTATCTCAGTGGTTAACGCTCGCTGTAAATATAACAGAACGCGAGTAACCCGGGTTGGATCCCCGCCGGCACCAATGATATTGTTAATGGCAATTTTAAGTGCTGATTTACCACGTGCTCGGCGGTGAAGGAAAACATCGTGAGGAAACCTGCATGTCTGAGGAATAAGAAAAAAATATTTCGAAGACATGTGAAGTTCGTCAACACGCATTTGGGCAGCGCGGCGAACACTTCCTTGCTAAACCTAAACCCTCTCAGAAATGAGGGGGAGGCCTGAGCCCAGCAGCGGGACGTATATAGGCTGTAACTTTACTTTACTTTTTACTTTTTTAAGGATTTTTAATAGGACATGACAAAGGTCATCGAAAAGAACAGAACAACGTCTGCCTGGCAAGCTAGTAATTATATATGTAAATTGTTATTTTATCCGTCTCATTACTACTATCAGATATATTATAACGTGTTTATATTTACAATGTTCTTTTTTGGTTTAAAAACAAACAAACAATATAAATACATTAAAATATTATTACCTAAATATATAATTAAGAATGATCTACAAACATTTTAAAGGCCACCCTTTTCCATTATACCACAATTATACTACGTAGCCATTAATTAATTCATTTCTGTGTCAGTTTTTGTATCTCTCAATGAATATTTCATAAAGGTATTTTTATGTTTGCCAACACCGGTTAAGAAGACAATATATAAAGTTCGTTTTTGCAACTTAATTGTTAATAAATAAACATTTTAATCGGTTTCATCGTGGTAGAGCCCTGCGGCAGCTGCATTGTGGCTGAAGCACGAATGGGTCAGCTCTATCGGATAATTGACCTACACTGATTGACGAGATACGGAGATCCTCTTAACTAGTAACAAGACATTCTATCTGGATCCTCAGGGATAACAACGCATCTGCATGTTATTTCTTAAATCTTTATCGGAAAGAGTTACATACATAGCATTCATTAAACAACAGGTTTACTGTGTGCACGTTTATGTTCTGTACTTGTATAAATAACGTAAAAATAGTCTAATTTAATGTATTATATCCATTTAATAAGTAAAGTAATACCTGTGTGTATCTTTATATGAACGTAAATTGTATAAAAAGGTTGTATATTAGACAGATTAAATGAGAACATTAATGTGACCTTGAAACTTAATAAATAACATATGTATGTTTAACAATTACCTGCTGCTGCTGCTGTATAAGTTGTTGTTGCTTGAGTTGGGCGTCATGAGCAAACGGCATCGCGTCGAATGGTGGAGGCGGAAGCATAAGAGGAACCAGCGGTGGCTGCAAGTTCATAGCTGCCAGGGCGCCGACGTTCAAGCCCAAGGGCAATCCAAGTGACAGCATTTGTGCCATCATAGGGTGTAGTTGCCCAAGTTGTTGTTGCAACTGTAGCATGTTGAGAGCAGCTTGCATTTCTTGCACCTGAGCTGCCAGCAGGGCGCCCGCCTGCGCATCACCGGGACCGGTTCCGTTTTCGTTAAAGTTGCTACTCGCATCGCCTCGCGGCGAAGGCGACCTTTCGTCTTGCGGCGCCGGAGAAGCTGCACGCGGTGAATTGGGCGCTCCCGATTTTCTTTCATATTCCGATTTGAACTGCTCCGCGAACTGCTCCAAGAACTCAAGCGGAACTTTATCCTTATGCACTTCTTCACAGTGAGTTTTTAAAACGAACACACTAGAAAACTCTTTATTACAATGTTGACACGTTGATTTATTTTCCCCATCCGGTGGTTTTTCCTCAGGAGGCGGAGGCGGCGGGCTCGGCGCTCGCGCCATTTCGCGCTCTTCTTGCATTTTGCGCCGTTGATTTTCATTGTATTGCATGACGAGATCAAAACCAAAGGTCTCTAACAGCTGTTTATACATTTGTGAGTTTCGTTTGGGCGGGTTGCCCTTGGCGACCATCTCGTCTAATGCAGCCTGCTCCGCTTCACCTAGCGGCGAATGCGCCCGCGCATCGCCAAACGGGCATGAAGTCGCACGATGTGCGTCGAGTAGCTCTCCGGTAGGAAATGACGCGTGGCACCGATCGCACGAGGCGCTACCTGCGTGAGGGGAGCGAGGGCTACCTGGGCGCGCGGGGGGCGAAGATCGGGGCCCCCCGCTGCTTGTTGAAGAAGGGGATGTATTTTTCGGCGACAATACGTCTTGTAATATTTTGGCGGGGTCGTTTCTGTCGGGTTGCTCAACTAAAGGCCTTGTCAGATCCACGTGGCCTGCTGCGGCGAGTTCTTGTAATTTACCCGCCCGCGTCTGATGCAGCACCGATCTCATATGAATGTCAAGAGTGCTACCCTGTGTGTAGGCCACTTTACAAATGTTGCACTTATATCGCTTACGATCGTCTTCCTCACTCGATGTACTCTTAGGAGTAAGTGTCAAATTAGAGGGCGCTGTCCCAGCCCCAGGCGAAACAGGGGGATTGTTATTGTTCTGTTGTTCCTGCATAGCCCTCTTTAATTTGTGCAAATGACTAACACTGTTGTAGTGTACAAGTAAAATATTCTTTTGCGTAAACGACTCTTTGCATACATCGCATTTGAATGGTCTATTTGGGTCAAGATATTTTTCCATTGGGTACGTTAATTTCTCGCCTTTTCTATGTAGCAGTGTTTTGTTATGCGCAGTCAAATAAGACTGACGGGTGAAAGCGACTTTACATCGGTGACATTTGTATTTCCTGTTAGGATCATTGTACGAGTCTTCAGCCATTGCTTGTGAATTTAAATAATCTTCCAAAAATTGTTGGTCCTTGTAAATTATTGAATCATCTGAGTTTTCAGCGTCATTGTGGCCTGATTCATCAGCTGCTGTTGCACTTGAATCTCTGTCTTCAACTTCACCTAACTCGTCATCTGGTGTTCTAAGAGCTTCTTTACGAAATAATTCTGCTGTAGAAGGATCTAATGCAGTTCCTTGATTTATTTGTAACAGAGGGTTTGATGCGAGGCTTCTTTTAAAAGCAGCAAGATCTTCTTCAGAGAGTTCAGAGTGAGAAGTTTCGACGTGTTTTTGAAGAGCTAATACGGAACGGAAACTACGGCCACATAAAACACACTTTGTAGCGTCACGTATTACATGATATTGAGAGTGTAATTGTAACTTCTCTATTGTCTTGAAAGCCAAACTGCATTGATTACATCTATATTTGTATACATGTTTTTCGGAGACCGACATATTTGTAATTGAGTTACGAGCGTGAGCTTCTCTGAAATGATTTTGTAGAGCATGAGCTGCATCAAAGTATCTATTGCATCCTTTCTTCCAACAGAAGTATCCTGGTCCTTGAGGTGTTTGTTTCAATTCCAAATGTCCAGATTCATTTTGGTGGTGACAAAGTTCGTCAACGTTGCGGAAGGTTCTATTGCAAGTAGAGCATCGTTCAGTTTCTCCATCTACGCTGCCTTCCGACCGCGGTGAAGAAATCTCACGTTCATCCTCTCCTGGTCGCGTTTCTTCTCTTTGCGACTGAGTTCCTCCATTCAACCAGTGACTTTGGTCGACAAGAAGTAGCAATCTTTGTAAGCCTTCTGAGTTCACTGAATGGATTTGCATTACATGTCTTTCTAAGGCTGGTCGTTCTTTGAAGGCGTCTTGACAAAGTGGACAAATAAAATGGCGCGCCGGATCTCCGTGTACAGAGGAAACATGGGCGTGTAGCTTCGTATCACTTCCACAGGTAAAATTACAGTAAGGACATGTCTGAGGTCCAGGAGTATCGTGTTCGTCATCTCTCTCACTTGAACTTTGTTGTGGTTGCAGTGTGGGTTGTTGCATTTGCTGGTTTTGTTGTTGTTGTTGTTGTTGTTGCTGCTGTTGCTGCTGCTGCTGTTGAATTTGCTGCTGTTGTTGATGCTGCTCCAGAAATCGCATCATTTTCTGTTCTTGCGTTAATTCAGGCTTTTGATCAATTGGTTCTTTAGTATCTGTTAACAAATAAAATAAATAAATGAATAATATTGATATAAATAAGGCGAAATGGTTAAGTAAGGCGTTTACAACGTTAAAATAGAATACAAATTCGACGAACCTTCCTCTGCTAAATCAGCAAAGCGAATGGATATTCATGTATATGCCAAAGCATCACCACCTCTACCTACATCTACGTGAGATTTATCTACAAAAAAGATTATTTCTATAAATGAAACTCGCTATTGTTCGGTGCGAGCGTTTGTTACTTTTCTGAATTGAAGTTAAAAATAAAATTCCTCTCTTTTATATTATTAGTAGGACTCGTTTTGTTTGCCCGTCCTGGCAAGACAAAGGTATCGGTCTATCCATCCCGTACGCGCACACATCTACGAACGTATTAATGCTAACGTAACAAGTATATTGTAATTTTGCACACAAAGAAGATATAGGACGAGCAAACAATCATTGTTCATTATTACAAAAGGTTTCGAATATTTCGCCTCACATCGGATGAAATGTATTCGGAATAGTGACGTGTGTGACGAGGTTAGTGTGAGCGAGAGAAGTATACATGCAGAAGATGTGTGAGTGCAATTATTATTTGACCAGGGATATGTCCACGGGAGCGTGTGAAAGAAGTTGGCCCGGCCCGTATTGTGAGAAAATAAGCTAAACTACGGAAAGTGAATGAAAATATCGATACAAAAAATTGTTGCAAACTCGTTAACAACATGTAATAATGATATAAATATGGACAATGATATGTGTAGACTGTTAATTATTTTCAATAACTTATTTGCCGACACAAAACACTTAACAGTGTTGTATATTATTATTAACTAAAATAGATAAAAAAGTAATAAGATCAGAAACAGTTCTGAATTTATAAAAATAATTAACGAATATTTTCTGAAATTTTTAAATAATTTATTTAACTAATTACTAGCACAAAATACTTTACAGAACGTTGACTAAAACCAGTCGTCCCCTATGTGGAACCCGTTTCATAGTTTTAAGCAGTTAAAACCGTTACATGTAATGAAGGGGAGAGGGATAAACAAATCTGAATGCATAGTAATAATCAAAGCGCAACTGACCCTAATCGTGGACCGGAGTGACCAGTGGACGTAATTATTTATGATGTAAAATCGCCGTCCCACTGTCTGGCAGGGCTATAGAACAATAGCCAGGTAAAGGGACCTTCTATGGATAAATGTGATGCCCAATACTTTTTGTCAATGAACAAAAGATCATTTCTAAGGAAACACCACATCGTTATAGCGTCGTAAAGGAGGTATTGTGCAGTGTGAGATTTGTTTTGCGCGATTTAGGTCAGAATTTTTACAATGTGGCGTCTGGAATACAAGACAACTTCGTAAGTTTTTATTGTTTGCGATTGAATTTAGTACCTACTCGTATAATAAATTGGATAGTGCTACGGATCATGAATTTATTTTAGACGTAAAATTTAATTCCAATAATTACGAGGGTGGATTGAAAAGTACTCGGCCTAACCAAGAAAATAAACACATACTAAATCAGTTATATTTTTATTTTTCTACATAATCACCATCAAGTTCAATAAATACACTTTTGCCACCTCCCCTTCCAATCATTTAGACCGTTGAAAAAAAAATCATTCTTCCTTAGAGTCAAAATATGCGTCTACAGCTGCTTTGACCTCGTCGTTTGTCGAAAATCTTTGACCTCCCAAGTGCTTTTTTAGGTTAGGGAACAGAAAGAAGTCTGATGGTGCCAGATCAGGTGAATACGGCGGATACGGTAACAGTTCAAAGCCACAGTTGTGAATTTCAGCCATTGACTGTACTGACGTGTGAACACGGGCGTTATCTTGATGATACAGGACTTTTCTTCTGAGCATTCCTCGACGTTTTTCTTTTATTTCCTCTCGTAAACGACGTAGTAAGGTGCAGTAGTAATCAGAGTTTATAGTCTGACCCCTTTCAAGATAATCAATCATAATCACACCTTTCGAGTCCCAGAATACTGAAGCCATCACCTTATTTGCCGACAAAATCGACTTAGCCTTTTTTAGGGGGTGGTGAACCAGGCCTTCTCCACTGTTTTGATTGTTGTTTTGTTTCCGGTGTACAGTAATGAACCCATGTTTCGTCCATAGTAACAAAACGATTCAAAAAATCATCTGCATCGGCTTCAAATAACTCCAAACAGTCGCGTGAAATAGTCAATCGCGTCCTTTTTTTGTTCAACTGAAAGCAGTCGCGGAACCCACCTCGCAGACACCTTGTGGAAGCCCAACTCGTTGACAATGATGTTTTGAGTTCGTTCATAAGAGATGCCTATAATCTCGGCTATCTCTCTAATTTTTAATCTGCGGTCTCCCATTATTAAATCAAGTACTTTTTTAATATTTTCGTCAGTAGTTGACGTCGAAGGCCTTCCAGAGCGGGGTTCATCTTTCACACTCTCTCTACCACGCTTAAATTCCGCTATCCATTTTTTGACGGATGAATATGACAGAGCATAATCGCCTAATGTACTGACCATGTCATCATGGATGGCTTTTGATGATAGCCCCTTCTTATGGAGGTACTTAATGACGGCACGCTGCTCGATTTGCTCCATTCGCGGAAATTATGTCCGATTACTTTGTTAATAAATTTATAAAATCACAACTAATTATTGCACACGTTTCGAACTTCACACAATGAACTAGTCTGAACTGAACTAAATAATGTGGGTAGATTTGATTTTTAGAATTGAATGGATCTGTGTTAGGCAGAGTACTTTTCAATCCAACCTCGTACGATTAACACTAACGTTAATCGTAATTATTGGAATTTAATCGTGAATGTTTAAAATAATAATTATAATTCTATATTTTTGTACAAACTAATTTATAAAAGGTATTTCTCAACCTAAGTTTCAGATCATCATTTTGTTCATATAGAAATATCTTTTGCTGACTTACAACGAATCGAAAGCCATTGGAAAACCTTTAAATTTATTTGAACGTTGGTCGTTTAAAGCGAATACTCAATAAGGTGAAAATAAGTAATAAACATAAACATGAGGGACACAATGGTGTAAGCCGGACTTCTTTCGCCTCCACATTTCTCTCAGAGTTTATCGTATTTCATCGTGGCTATAAACATACGTCGGGCAATGCGTCCGGTGACATTGTAAAATGATGTAGCAGCCTCATCACAAGGGGGCAATCATCCTTAATGCGCAACGGCCACATACGTAATGCGAGTCATTGTCCCTCGTGGTGGTACTTATGGAAAATTCGCGTTCTCAATTCAAATCTTCTTTCCGTCTCCCTCACGCGCGGGGCGGAGCCGCCTCCGACCAATGACGGAGTCAGACTGTGGCGACACCGTGTAAGGCGTACGTTATTAAAGAAACCTGTTCTAATGTTGTGCGCTTAAAATTAACTTTGTCCACGTTTAATTATCTCATTATTATCATTATGAATTCCCTATTAAATGAACATTTTTTCAAATGGTGATTACCTTTCTAATGTAACGCCAAACGTTGCACACAAACACAATAACGATGTCTTCGATAGTCAGTGAACACGCGTATTTCGCAGCGTTATCTTAAAAACCGCCGAATTTAACACAAAACAGATTGTATGTTTATTAACACGATCTAGTAAAGAAGTTCACTTTATAAAAAACGCATAACAAAATTGATTAAGGAACGAATCGGTTTAAATTGGAAAACGATAGTGACGTTTCGAAATTACATTCATAAGTCGACTCCGTATTACTTTATCGATACGAAGTCCAGTAATGGTTTAGGTTGAATTAATTTTAATGGGATTTTCACGCTTTATAGAATAAAATGTTACGAAATGTGTTTAGCACGGGAGTAATAAATAATAAATATATATCGCTTCTGTTTGCCGTTGTAAAGGTTACGAGTCTACTGAGAAAAAAAGAAATTGGCTTGTTAGGCAAGTTGCGCACGCGCATTTAATTGCATTTCGAGTAAGAATTTTTTAATAATATCTATCTAAATCAGTATTAGCCATAATTTTTTTTGATATTGTTCTATGACTTAACTTTTGTTTAATCTAGCAATAAATAAATAACGACAGTCAATCGAGGAAGTTTTTCTAAAATGATATTTAACAATAGAACGGTTACGGCTCGGAAACTTTGAATAACGTATTAAACGGTTTCCTTGTTCCCTACTATGTAAGCAACAATAGATTAGGTTTTTATCGATCTGTGCTATTAATTAGTTTTTCATATAAATGTCTTAAAAGACAGGAAAGTTCGTCGAATCTTGTAAGAAAACAGAAATTTCACAATTACTCACCTTCCTGTTGATCGTAGGGACTTGGTAACTCAGGTGGTTGTGGAATAACTTGGAAGAGTTCAGCTACATCAGGCGTAGGGTCTTTTCCCTCAGAGCGTCGCTGCAGTTGATGAATTTGTTCCATTTGTAAGTGCTTAACGGATCGCACGTGCTGTAGTAGGGGTAATCGATGTGGTGCACCAAACCCACATAGCGCACAACGGTATACTCTGGCACGGTCACGAGGTATCCTTGCTGCACATTCTCGAAGATGTCTTAATAAAAGTGTAGCTGCTTCATGCCGAGCACCAGCTGCGTGAAGTTGCAACTTGTGTGCAGAGTTCGTATAGTAGTCACACGCACAACATCTGACCTGCACACCACCTACACCAGCACCGCTTGTTCCCACACCACCACAGAACTTCAACTTCCATTCGTTTCTCGGGCCGCCTTCTTTAACGTGATTAACGTGTTGCAATCTCTGAAGATGCTTATCGGTTTTGCAATGAAGCTGAAAGTTAGCTTTTAAATTTGTTTTATATGTGCAAAGTTTGCAAACGTAGTGTCCAGCTACCAGTGCTAATATCTCTTGCTCTCGTATTTTTGTACGATCTTGCGCTAAATGGTGTCCGAGTGCTTCTAAAGAATCAGTCGAGAAACAATTGCAGATGCAGCAGTGGAACGTTCTTTCGGGTTCAGGATCAGCTGGCTCCGGTGGGGGTTCCATCGCTTCTGGATTTAATCCTACATCAAGATGCGCTCCCAACTCAGGGGGTGATGGTCCAGGACCTCCGGTCATGAGTTGTATCATTAAAGCTTGGTTATATGCCATATCTGCAAGTGCTGCTTCCGGATTAGGAGGGGGCGCTTCGCCGCTATGGAAATGTAACAAACTCTCCAGCTGTTGTTGGCTTTGCTGTCTATGATGAAGAGCAGAGAGCGTTTGCATGTGTTTTACATTTTGTTGTAGCACGAGCATATTGTGAGTATGTTTTTCAGATGTCATGTGTATTCTGAGATTGCGCGCAACATTCGTCTCATAATTACAAACATCACAACGGAATGTGGGTTTTGGTTTTTGTCCTAATGGCGAATGATGTGGCAGTGGCGGTTTATGTCCACCTGGAGGAGTGTGCTGAGGGGCAGGAGGTAATGAACTTTCACCAGGGTTTCCACCGTTCTGCAATTCTTGCATGTTATTTAAATGTTTGTCTGATTGCATATGTATACTAAGGTTTCCCTTTGTTGTCGTAGAATAATTGCACACCTCACATCGATATGGCTTGTAGCCACAGGTGTACGTTTCGCCACGGGCTAATCGTGGATGAGGCTGCCCAGCTATACAGTAAATGCAGCTTGTTTCAGCTTCCGGGTGTTTTTCCTTCATGTGTATTTCTAACGTTTCTTGATATTTATAATGCCAGTTACATTTAGGGCATTTTAATGTTTTGCAGGAATTCCGGCTATGCATTCCTGCTAAGGGACCGCCAAGTCTTCCTGAATTCAAAATCAGTTCACACTTCGGACAGTCTGCACCTGACGGTCTTCCTCCGAGATGGTCTGGGCATACACCAATCGTGGTGCCAGAGAGAAAGGCTGGGGGAGCAGCTTGGAATGGAGGTGAAGAGTTCGGACTAGCACGAGGTTGTACAGAGGCATTTATTGTATGAGGATGTGCAACAGAAATCAAGGAATGTTGTGGAAGTAAAGATTCAGCTATTGATCGAGGCGGTCTCCAGGCTGGTGGGCTCGGTCTCCTATCATCACATGTTCCATTGGGTAACATCGAATCATTGTCTCTGTCTGGGGTCATATTGTCCAATCTTTTTTCAACGGATGGGCTTGATAATTCTGACATGTTAGCAGGGCTGCCCGACATTGATGCACGAGGCGGCGCTGCTGCACCGACAGGCTCTAAAAATGAGACTAGTGGTTCTTTATCTTTTCCAACGCATTGGATTATCGCAGAAGCGTTCTCTCTAGATAATGCGTCTTTTTCTGAGTCGAGCAGTGATAAACTATGATCTGACTGGGCGTGTGCTATAAAAGACTTAGCGTAGCCAAAACTCAATTTACAGATAAAACACATAAGAATCGGTTTAACCGGTACGCTTACAGGGCATTCAGCAGGCGGCGATGGTGGTCTAGGAGTATCTTTTCCACCACGAAAACTAAATACTCTATAACTATGCATAACGGGAGCATCGGGCCTTGCCCGCGCACGTTCCGCAGCTAATCTACCATACAATGCGCCGTATAATGAAGAATTTCTTGATACATAAAAAGCGCTTGCTATTTGAGGAAAGTCTAACTGCTTTTCTACAACGTTGCTGTCTCGGCTGTCGACAATGCACCCGGGTTCAATCTTGGGTAAGTCTGAGAGACTCGTCTCGCCTTCTGACATTTCAGGGTCCTCGATGATGTAGGCGGATCCGTCGGGGTTGTAAACGATTTTGCCATCGAAGCGCTCGACGTCCGAGGAAAGCGGCGGAGAGTCACGTCGCGAGGTGAGGTCAACAGCGTCGGGTGCGGCTGGAGGTGAGGTAGGCGCGGGTGCAGAGGAGGGCGCTGGTGCGGGGGCCGCGGGCGCCGCGGGCGCGTTGCGTGGCTCCTCTTCGGGGCTCATGTCGCCGTCGTCGTCGAGTTCGAGCGCGGCAGAACTTTGCGGGGCGTCGCGCTTGCGGCGCCGCTTGCGCTCCGGGGGCGGGCCGCTAGCGGGGCCGCCGGGCTGCAGCGGCGTAGGCATGGCGCCGGGCGTCAAAGGCCGGCATCACATGCTCTCCTGAAACAAATCAATACATTATGTTATTCACTAGGAATATAAAGAACAACAATATTTTGAGGGTAATAATGTATGGCAGTTAATTTTAATCTTTTTTATGTAGAATAAAAGTGACAAATGAGCAAATAGTCCACATCATGGTAAGTGGATGCTGTGGCCCATGTACATCCACATTTATCCTCGATTAAGAATCAATATGCAGATGCGTTGTCACTTGTCACCCCTGAGGACTAAGATGGAATGCTTCATATCTAAAAAAGGTGTTTTCGGTTCTCTACTCTCACCATACGAAACATATCAGCATCACGCTGCTATTAACGCTGGTATTCTGTGAAAGCGTGGTCCATCCAAAATAGTTGCAACATGTTTCTACCATCCTGCAAGGTTACTGCTCGATGACATTATTATTTGTAATATCACAAAATGTTTATATAATGGCACCATTGATTTATATTTGTATAACTCAATGTATGACACTGCGAGAACCACTAGTCTCTAGTAGATTCCTTTCTGAAGTGTTCTTAATTTACTAATCGCAGGCAAATTTTTCCGTTCATAAGCTTCAAACAAGCCTAAACTTTACAAATTTTGACTAGGACTTTGATTCGATCAAAGATGATAATACGGTATTGAAAGTAAATATATTTTATCAGTAGATCAATAAAATAATAAAGTTGCGTAATTTAGTTAGCTTTTCTCACGGCCCGAATTCACTAGTGTGGTTGAAGGTGAATTTGAATACACATTTGTAATGAGGTTCGCTTCAACCGGAAGAAGGTGGAGTCGTTTTGTACTGTTCATTATTGTTTACAGAATGTATAAATTTATCAATCAGAATTAAATCTCTGCCTTTATTTATTTCTCAGCTCAATTCTACTACTTGTTAAAAATACCAAAATCGTTAATGGCTGTGTTTTTTCTTTAAGTTTTTAACTTGTGCTTTTATTTATTTTATTATCAGTGTTTTATATATTTTAACTCAAACATCGGAACGTCGATAACCTCAGTCCCCATTTACAGGAAGGGCAGCAGCTTAGACCATTGGGGTCTATCTCTGCCCTTCGCCCAGTTCGAAGGGCAGCAGCTTAGACCATTGGGGTCTATGCTGCTGCCCTTCGCCTCGCCAGGAACGAAGCGAGGAGTCTCTCGTCGCCTAGGTTGTTCGAAGGGCGCAGACCATCCCTCCCCCGTTTATCGCAGGCAATTGGGGTCTATGCTGCTGCCCTTCGCCTTCGCCTAGGGTTGAATGGTCGAAGGGCAGCAGCTTAGACCATTGGGGTCTATGCTGCTGCCCTTCGCCTTCGCCTAGGGTTGAATGGTCGAAGGGCAGCAGCGTCAAAAGCGCGATACGTTGAGTACCGCTATCGTCAAAAAATCGTCAAACCGCCTCCCAAGCTTGACGCAATTAAATGACAAATCTTTCCTACAACCAAAAATGCTCATATGATATAACATTTAAAAAAGGTTTTGCTGTATCAAAATGGACTTCATCTATTCTTTTAGATATATTGTTACATACCACTTGCATATGCACAAACGACGAATATTTGAAAAAATAAATAAAAATATAAGTTTAAACCTTTACATTTCTTAATGATTTCTTATATTTACGCGAACACTACACATTTATTAAAAATACTTTTACCCTTTGATCATACCCTAGGTGGCCTCAACCATTACATCAGATTGGATAGATCACAAATCCTCGTGAAAGAACATCGATACCTACCAAAGATGATACGTGAGAATATTGAAATTAAAAAACATCCTAATTTCAATAGAGAAGGAGGCTGGGTACTACCACCTGCTTGGGTAAAAAAAGCCCCCGCAGACTTCTAAACACAGTTACTTCATTCTGCGTAGATCAGACCATAAATAACAATAACTAAAAAGGAAACTCCGGGTTAACATTGACATCGGGACGTCATCAGTCCCCGTACCGTACCGGTACTTCTTTCAGTCTAGGAATCCGTCTGGACAAGTACGGGTGGTACCTTGCTTTTTCTGGTGGCAAATATCTGATCTGACGGTCATAGAGAGCCAGTACAATGCCTCCAGCCTCTCAGAGGTGGCAACACATCTACAGTTTTTTTTGTTCACAGAAGTTTCTCTAAATGTTTTTGTCCCTTCAGTTTAGTAAAAAAAAAGTACAAATGATTGTAATTATATGCGTAAAGCTGAGGCTTTGGGATAACTTTAAAGTTCATCTGTGAACCTTCATAAGCTGTAAAAATTATGATAATAATTGAGAAACAAAAATTGCTCAAAGAAGCAACTGATGGGTAAGAAACTTTATCAAGTAGGAACCTCGTGTCGAGTGGTATAAGAATTGCAGGGTGGTCCCCACTAGACGTGAAGACCCGGTAATATACCTATGAAGGAAATCGATGTATGCAATTATTAAAAAAGGCCTGTTTTCAGCAGTGAACCCACGATGTGCTACAATGATTATGGTGATGATTATCATAAAAACTTATTTCTTAAGCTTTAGATTAGTATGAGTTTAAGATGTTAGATTCATCATCATCATCATTACAGCCCTTCACAAGTCCACTGCTGAACATAGGCCTCCCCCAAGTAATGCCACAAAGCACGGTCCTGAGCCACCTGCATCCATCGACTTCCTGCATGTCTTACCAGGTCGTCACTCCATCTAGTGGGGGGTCGCCCTGCACTACGCCTACCGGTACGAGGCTGCCACTCGAGAACCTTTCTTCCCCATCGGTTATCGGTTCTTCGAGCTATATGGCCGGCCCATTGCCACTTCAGCTTACTAATCCGTTGGGCTATGTCGGTCACTCTGGTTTTACTGCGGATATCCTCATTTCTGAGTCTATCACGCAGAGAAACTCCGAGCATAGCCCTCTCCATAGCTCGCTGAGCGACCTTAAGCGTCCTCATACGGCCAGCAGTGAAGGACCACGTCTCAGATCCGTAAGTCATCACTGGCAACACGCACTGGTTGTACAATCTAGTTTTTAGAGATTGAGGTATTACCTGACGAAAAGATATGCCGTAATTTCCCGAACGCTGCCCAGCCGAGTTGAATCCGTCGATTGACCTCTCGGTCGAAGTTGGACTTACCTAGTCGGACTATTTGTCCCAGGTAAACGTATTCGTCAACAACTTCGAGCATAGTGCTCCCAACAACTACCGGCATAGGTGTGACATGGACATTGAACATGATCTTTGTTTTGTCCATGTTCATCTTAAGACCTATCCGTTGGGAGGCACTATTGAGGTCATTGAGCATAGTGCTTAAGTCCTCCAGCGATTCTGCCATAAGGACTATATCGTCGGCAAATCGAAGGTGAGTGATGTACTCGCCATTGATGTCAATACCGTATCCTTTCCAGTCCAGTAGCTTGAAAACGTCTTCCAATGCAGCGGTGAAGAATTTCGGGGATATAACGTCACCCTGTCTTATACCTCTTTGCAGTTGGATAGGTTTCGAGCTCTGGTTCTGTACTCGGATAGCCATCGTAGCCCTACTGTACAAACACTTCAGCACTTCGATATACCGACAGTCAACTTGGCACCGCTGAAGGGACTGTAGCACCGCCCAAATTTCGACGGAATCAAAGGCTTTCTCATAGTCCACATACGCCAGGCAAAGTGGCAGATTGTACTCTTCAGTCTTCTGTACAATCTGCCGCAGGGTATGTATGTGGTCTATGGTACTGAAGACTTTTCGGAAACCGGCTTGTTCGGGAGGCTGGAAGTCGTCAAGTCTGCGTGCGAGACGATTCGTAATGACTCTCGAAAACAGCACGTAGACGCGGCTCAGAAGGGAAAAGATGTTAGATTGCCAAATTAAAATACTAGGTAGGTAAGTCCCTTATCAGAACTGGCATTTGCGCAAACAACTGTGATCAATTTATCCATGTGACAGCTTGTCAACGCTGTCAATAGTGACATTTTTACAATTAAGCAATTGTGTCGGTTCTCTGTAAACATAAACTCGATGTTTATTAAATTTCATTTCGTTGCAATATGTTTCTTATACATACTTGGCATTAAGAGTACAAATGCTTAAACATCCTATGAATTTATTTGATAAAATACGTATAACCTAAAGTAAAAATTCGTTAAAAACCAAGATTAACTCGTCATCTCCGTTATCTCGAGCGTTATCAATGAGAGCTATATATTTTACAAGCCCGTAACGAGAGCTCAAATAATATAGTATTTAGATGACAGCCGCGTGATACCTAATCGATGAATATGACAAACGACATGGAAAATTTAGAATTCTATAATATTATTAAAATTTTATAAGTTTTGAAATAATTAACCACGATTAATTATTGCATCGTATTGTAATCTTTGTAAGTTACAAGGTGTGTTTCTAAAAAATTTGATAGGTATATATCACTATTAGTCTTTTTAGCGCGTCTAGTATGACGATAATCCATCATCGATATATTTCCACAGGTTACATATTTATAAGTGCGTCTCATTTAATATAGGTAGTAATGATTTAAAAAATGTATAATTACCTCATCTAAGCTGGGATGTTATATCATCACCAACAAGCGGTGTATTCCTACTCTAATAATAGTTAACAAAGAAGACAAATCTATCAAATTAAATGAGTGGGTGCGTTTGGCAGAAAAAAGCGCTAGCAAGCGCTCATAAGCGCTGAAATAGTTTTCGGCCAGGACACGATTGCTACTTCAGTAGCGCTGACACAATCCGCCATTTTGCTTATTTAATTTGTTTGTTTTGAAGTAGAGTTTATAAGTTATTTTGTGCAATATTAGTTTTAAGTAATATAATGACATGAATAAACATATACATGTTATTAAAATTCATGATTGGTAAGTTTTTAATATGAATACTTTACAAACATATATTTAAATTAGGTTAGGTTCCCCGGTTAAAACTAACATCGTGTCCTGGAGGAAAATAGCTACTTACGATTTGACAGCGCTTACCGCTTACGATCGCCATTTTGCTTACAAGCGCTTGCTAGCGCT